GACTTGGAAATACTCAGCTTTTCTTATGCTCTAGTTCAGGAAGCCCACCAGTTTATCTCATGCTGTGTCGCAGCTCTCTGTCTCTTGGGTTGAAGAGGCTCAGCATGCAGGAATCTCAGGGGCCAAAGCATATACTCTATTCCTGGCTCTTGTGAGTCTAGCTAGATTTTTCTTCCTGCTTCTGAGGTGGCTCATATAAAATCCAGCATGATGGCAAAATTGACCAATCACTGTTAGAGTCCCATACATCCTAATTCTACTGTCCTGTATCCTGATTGCATGCATGATTACTTTCAGTCTGATCTCTTTGGTAGACTTTTTCAATTTCTGCATCACTAGCTTTAGAGCTTGGTGCATAAATTTGAATAGTTGTACAGCATTGTACTTTTTTTTTTTTGTATAAGAAAGAGCTTGATATACAAGAGCAATTGAATATTAAGACAACTTCCCAGCCCAGTCCAGATCAAGTCCATAAGTCTGGTATTAGCCCATATGTCTGATACCAATCTATAAATTCCTCTGCAGACGCATGCAACACATGTAATGAGGCCGAATGCAGGAAGATCACAGGCCAGTTGGTGGAAAGTCTTGTGGATGCAGTGGCAGTGGTAGCATCTCCGCGCTGGTACGAGTCTCCACTTGGCTCCTTCAGCTCGAGGGCTTTAGCGTAGCACCATGTGTCTTCTTCACAGGAATGTCTCCCAGCGAGTCTGTGTGTGTCCTGCCACCAGAGCTTTGTGTTTTAGGCACCTGCTTGTTGGGGCTGGTGTTATTTATTATGTTAATAAAATCAAAGATCATAAACCATACAATCTTGAACTACTTTAATATATTTATATATTGAATTTTAATTTGGGAAGCCTTTCTTCCCTACTTTAAAAAAAAAGCCTTCAGTATAGCAACCACCACTTAAAAACAAAACAAAAATTTAAAAGGGAGTTTTTTAAAAAAATTCTCTTTATTGAAGAAAACAGCAACTAAATTAATAGTTGTTTTAAAATAACCAGTTTGTCTTCGTCATTTGTAGGACCCTAGTTTGGTGCTGCAGTCTCACACAGACCTCCCCTAGAGTCTTAATAAGATCCCTGGGGTCAGAGTGGTTCAGTGCTTGGCTGTTAGCGGAAAAGACCAGCGTTTGATTCCACAAGCCACTCTGGGGTGGGGAGGGGGGATCTGAACCACTTTAAGCACAGAAAGATCACAGTAGTCTTGGAACAATTCTAATTGCCCTGTATGGGTTGCTATGTGTCAGGCACGACTAAACAGTAACGGGTCTAGGGTGAACTTCAAAGTCTCGTGCAGTTGCTTCACTGCCCACAAGAGCCTGGTAAAGCTTAGCTATGCCCCAGAAAGTTGGATTCAACTTTAGGTTTCCATTAGCTTGGAGAACCCAAAGAAGCAAAAACCAACACATTCTATAATATTTTCTAGAAAGATGTTATTACTATAGGCAGCCCTGCATGTGTTCCAGCTAGGAGTCAAAGGTGACCTTTTTCCTCCCTTCCAAAGTTGAAGAATCTGAAACCCACTGACCCACCCAGCCAGCCAAGGGCAAACTCTGCAGTCAAAAGTAATGTGTAATAGGTTTATTTACCGAGGTTAATTTTCCTTATTCCTCCCTCAATACAATGTGAGTAACGCACATTAACCATTATACTTTTTAGGTACAGAGAGTTTGTCCCTCCTCCTCCTTCATTATCCTGTTTTCATTTCTTGGGCACTGTTTTTAGAAAACAATCTATCTCTACTTTTCCTGTGATGATTCTGATTTTAGTTAGAAATTTTTTTTAAATTTGAAGGCTTCTATATTCAGTACTGTAATCAATAACAACAAAATATGAAATAAATAAAAGATAATAAATATAAATATTTATAATAAATATAAAATAAATAAAAAATAAAATTCAACCAGCACCAACAAATTTCCACTAACTAATGTTACTTGATGCCAACCATTGAATGCTAAGTTTGTGTGCTTTTTAAAATGCACTTTTGCTTGTCTTGATGATTTACAACTATTGCTAGGGCTGTTTAAGTATAGTGTGACAATGATAAATAGATTCATTTGGCAAACTCAGCTGTTTTTATTAAAAGTGAATAGTGGTGAGTAGAAAGGGACTTGTAAACAATTTTCTTGTCAAAGAATTATGATGGAGAAATAAGGTAATTTTACTTCCTTGTTTTGAGCAACAGATCCACCTACTTTATGTATCTTTACTCTACAGAGTCCCTTCCTTTCTTTCAAATTGAAAACAATCTTAGCTGTCAGTGTGTTTAAAATAAAACTTTTATGCATTTTTATTTTGGGGCTATCACCCATTGCCATTGAGCTGATTCAGACTTCCGAGGGCCCTACAGGATGGAGTATAGCTGCCACGTAGATCTGAGACTGGGGCGCTTTAGAGGAGTAGAAAGGCTCATCTTCCTTCCAAAGAGCAGTGGGTGGTTTCAAACTGCGGTACCTTGCTGTTAGTAGCCCAGTGTGTAACCACTAAGCCACCAGGGCTCCCTTTGTGAGTATAGGATTGCTAGTTTACATAATTATTTCTGACTATAAGGAAGAGGCTTTTATTTTTTTACTTTTAAGAATAATGTATTCAAACGGTTTAATTGTTGACTTAAGCTTTTATTTTCTTATTTCATCCACGAAAGTAAGACTAGTATTTGGAAAACTTCTAATTAAATGTATTTAAACAGTTTTTCAAAAGATGTATGTTTGGCTACATCTGGGTTTATTTAAAGTGCCTAAGCCATCATCATATTTGGTTGATGTCTTGTAGGAAAATATTAAAGTGTAGCAAATTAAAGCTAAAACTGATTTCTAACTCATTGTAACCCTATAGGGCAGGGTAGAACTGCCCTTTTGGGTTTTCTGAGATTATTACACTTTACAGGAGTAGAAAACCTGGTCTTTCTCTTGCAAAGTGCCTGGTGGTTTTGAATTGCCAACCTTGTGATTAGCAGCCAATGTATAACTACTGTGCCACCAGATGTGTTAGACAGGGTTCTCTAGAGAGCTAAAACCAGATTGCTGATAATTTTATATATTTATTTATAAAGATAGTTAGATATATAACACAAGAAATGAACTGTTATATACAGATAGATAGATATATAATACAAGAAATGAACAGTTACATTATAAAGCAGTACAAGTGGCTCAGTCCAACTCACTCCCATGAGAGAGTTGTGAGACACTAGCAGTCCTTCAAGTCCTGAGGGCTGCCAGGTCTTCCTCTGAGATAGCTAGGCTATCTCAGCACACACAGAAAACAGCAAGGCAGGTCACCAACTGTCAGCCAGGTCACCAACCATCAGTCCCCAGCTCCAAAGATGTACATTCCAGTCATGTGGTCTTAAAGGGACCTCAACTTATAGCGACACAGTCCACAGGCTAGGCGTCCCATAGATAGTGTAGCTTGTAAATTGAGGCACAGAACAACCAAGGCAGCCGCACACTGGTCCGATGATCAAAGAGCGAGAGACAAGAAAGGCGAGGCTCACTGAGCCATTTATCTCTCCGCCCTTCAATTAATCCCACTTGTGTTCATCTGCCAGGCTGGCACCATAAACTAACTATCTCACCAGGGCTCCTGTTAAATCCTTGAAAATATAATAAACAGATCAATTGAGGGCTTTAACTTTGGATGAAGCATATGGCAAGTCATTAGTTCGTGTTGGTAGTAGCTTTGTCTTGTGGTTAGGTGCCAGCCAGTCAGTTCTGACTCATAGAGGTCCTATTTACAAGAAAAGGAAACATTGCCTGGACCTGCGCCACCCTCACAATTGGTTTAAGTGTGAGTCCATTGATGCAGCCTCTATGACCATTTACCTTGTGAAGATCTTCCTCTTTTTCACTGCCCTGCCACTTTACCAGGCGTGATGTCCTTCTCCAGGGACTGGTCTCTCCTAAAACATGCCCGAAGTATGCTGAAGTCTCACTAGTTTTACCTCTAAGGAACATTTTAATTGTATTTCTTCCAAGACAAATTTGTTTGTTCTTTTAGCAGTCCTCAGTACTTTTAATGTTCTTCACCAGCACCATAAATTCTTCTTCAGTCTTCCTTATCATTGTCCAACTTTCACATGCATATGAGGCAATTGAAAATATCCTGGCATGAGTCAAGCACACCTTAGTCCTCAAAGTAACATCCATGCTTTTCAGCATTTTGATGAGGTCTGGTGCAGCAGATTTACCCAATGCAATGTATTTTTGATCTCGTAACTGTTACTTCTACGAGCAATGATTGTTGCTCCAAATAAAATAAAATCATTTACAATTTCAATCTTTGTTTACCATTAATGTTACCTATTAATCTATTTGTGAGGATTTTGTTCTTCTTCACATTGAGTTATGGTTCATACTGAAATCTGCAGCCCCTGATCTTCATCAGCAAATGCTTCAAGTCCTCCTCACTTTCAGTAAGCAAGGTTGTGTCATCTCCATAACACAAGTCGTTAATAAATCTTCCTCCGATCTTGATGTTGCATTCTTCTTCATATAATCCAGTTTCTCTGATTATTTGCTCAACATACAGATTGAATGGTATGGTGAGAGGATATAACCTGATTTTAAACTATGCAGTATGCCCTTGTTAATATTGTCATACTAACGTTTTTTCAGTATTGTCATACCAGTATTTTTTCCTAGCAGTTTTATAGTTTTGTTTTATTTTCTGTCCTAATAAAGTACCTTGGTACTGAAGCTACCTTGATTGAGTGTATCAGAGTCCCTGGGAGTTTCTAAACCATAGTCACTACTTCCTGCTATAGCATACTCAAAGGAGGCGGGATAAATCTCTGTCTCAGAATGAAAACTATTTGAATTGTGATTTGAAGACCATGATCTGTAACTTTGAAGTTAACTGTTGCTTTTTAAATTTAATATTATTTGTATTTATATCTCCTGAATTGTCGATCAAGTATTCTATTCTCTTATAAAAGAGAAGCACAAGGAAGATCTTCCTAAAATTTTTTAATACAATGTGTCTTTATTTCAGTATCTTAAATAGTGAAGATGAAGAAATATTTAATGAAGAATGTGAATATACATCCAAAAAGAGGAAAAAGGACCATTTTAGAAATGACATAAATACTCAATGTAAGAAGAATGTTATTGCTAATTTTATATTCTATTTTAGCTGTTGAATATGCTAACATAAAATGTTCATATACTGCCTTATGAAATAAAAGATGATTTACATATATATAATATAGCACTGTACTGAGTATTGAACATTGATCTAATGTGTTTTTACAACTCACCCAGTTTAGTAAATGTGTTTAGTTTAGCTAATAAATATGTAAAACATAAGAAATAACCAACATTTTAAAGCAATTGTAAACTTAAAAGAAACCCATTTCCATCTAGTCAATTCTGAAACAGTTGACCCTGACACTTAGTGACTGTTTATAGTATCTCTGAGGCTATAAGCCCCTATGAAAGGAGATAACCTCATCTTTCTCCTGCTGCTGAGCAACTGGTGAGTTTGAACCACAGACCTTATGGTGAAAAGTCCAATGCCCACCTGACAACTCCACCGCAGTTTGTTATGAAATTGAATAGCAGTTGTGAATACAACTCATCAAAGCTTTTATATTTCACTCCTTAATACTGAGGACAAATTGTTAAATGTCTTTATATTAAACTTTAATTCAGGATTCACAGAAGATTCACAGAAGGGGCACACATAATTAGATCTAAATTTTAAGAACATGGAGACTCACTCTAAAAAAACTCACCGCCATCGAGTTGATTCCAACTCATAGCAACCTTGTAGTGCAGGGTAGAACTGCCCCTGTGAATTTCCAAGGCTATAGCTATTTATGGGAGTAGAACGCCCTGTCTTTGTTCAATGACACAGCTTGTGGTTTTGAACTGCTAACTGACCTTGTGAGTATAGTCCAACCTTATAGTCCAACTCATAACCATTAAACCACCAGGGCTCCAAGAACATTGGAGACAGAAAGACATTAGGGTCTTTTGCAGCCTCGTAATAGGAGAAAGATATAGAACAGTTAAAATCCACCAAAAATAGTTGATAATTGAAGGATTCCTGGTTGTGCAGCATTTAAAGCATTTGGCTACTAACCAAGAGGGTAGTGGTTTGAATCAACCAACTGCTCTGTGAGAATTTGTAAAATCTGAGATTTAACCTTGGAAACCCTATGGAAAACCTATGGGGCAGTTCTGCTATTTCACAGGATCATTATGAATCAAAAACAATGTGACAGCAACAAACTTATTGAAGAATTTGGATAATATAAATATGTTTCTAAAAGTTTGATTTAAGGGACATGAAACTTTCATATATGGAATACATGTAAGGCCAATAAGTGAGGAATAGAAATGTTTTTAGGGTTCTTAATAGCTAATTAATTATTGTATTGCATTTTATACTATTTGTGTTTCATATTATTATAGTTTATATAAATTTCTTTTAACTTACCAACACTTGGTACTGTCATGATTATCTATATAAAGATCCTTCCGCTCTCTTTAAGCAAATAAATTTAGCAGCTTAGTGTATATTTAATTAAGAAGAACTGTCTTTTATTTATACAGTGAGATAATTTTGTTAGTATATGCAAACATTGAAGTTCCTGTAAATTTTCCATTAGAAATACTTTACTACACTTTTAAAACAAACTTAATGTTTACTCTAGGTTTTTACCGTGAAAAATGGATCTATGTCCATAAAGAAAGCACAAAAGAAGTAAGTATTCTAAGAGTATATTTTGTTTTGTTTCTAACGAATATGTAATGTCATGCCAAGTAAATTGTTTCTTTTACAATATCAAATTTATGGTATACATTCTAAAAATACTAAAATGTGTGCTCTAATATGAGGGGGCCTTCAAAAAGTTCATAGAAAATGTATATTATGAAAAAAAAATTATGCATAGATTCCAAAAGTGTTTTTACTCCAAAGTACACTCTTCCTAACTAGTTATAACATGTCTAAACAAGATCTAGTTTGAAGGACTAAGAAGGACAAGACAGCACTTTGAAAAGAGCCCCTCTCAGAGCAACATGAACTCTCTTAAAATGAAGCCAAGAATAAACATAAAATTTGAAAGAAAGCTTGTGAGGAACGATGGTGAAATAATTGAGGCTGCACTTAGAGGTTATGGGGACAATGCCTCAAGGAAACCAAAATTTACAAATGGATCACTCATTTTAAGAAGGGACGAGATATTAAAGCCAGAGTGGTAGAAAAATCAATCTTTTTCTTGCCCTGATTAAAAGGACCATCAATTAATAGGAGAAACAATAGCTGACACTATAGACATTTCAGGTGGTTCAGTTTACACAATTCTGACTGACCAAGTTTTGCACACTTTTTTCTCAATGAATACCAGAATTGTTACTCCCAGATCAGCTATACACAAGAGTAGAGCTTTGAAAGGAAATTCTAATCAAGTGGGATCCAGACCTTGTAACACTTCCCTAATGAACTGCAGTAGGGCATGAAAGATGGCTTTGTAATTATGATCATGGAGCCAAAGCAGAGCCAAAGCAATGGTTACCGAGAGGTGGAAGTAGCCCCAGCACGAGTGGACCAATCAAGAACAAATGTCATGGCAAAAGTTTTTGTACTAGATTGTACTAGAAGGCTGAAGTACTATGACATATCCTTTCTATGAGAGTGTTTTGAGAAAGTTAGCCAAGCCTTAGCAGAAAAATTCCCAAGAACTCATCACTAGAAAGTCTTCTACCAAAACAGTGGCCTAGCCCATCCTCATCAAATAAGGGTAATTTGGGGAGAGTTTCTTTCTTTCTCTTTTAAAAATCATTTTATTGGGGGCTGTTACAGCTTTTATCACAATCCATCCATCCATCCATTGTGTCAAGCACGTTTGTAAATATGTTGCCATCATCATTTTCAAAATATTTTCTTTCTACTTGAGCCCTTGGTATTAGCTCCTCATTTTTCCCCTCCCCCCTACCCTCCTTCCCTCATGAACCCTGGTAAATTATAAATTGTTATTATTTTCATATCTTAACATTGTCTGCTGTCTCTCTTCACCCACTTTTCTGTTATTCATCCCACTTGGGGGCGTGGTTTTATGTGGATCATTGTGATGGGACCTTTGTCCTCCCACCATCCCCCTATCCTCCTCATATTGCTACTCTCATTATTGGTCCTGAGGAGTTTATCTGTCCTGGATTCCCTGTGTTGCAAGTTCTTATCTGTGCCAGTGTACATACTCTGGTCTAGCCTGATTTTTAAGGTAGAAATGGGATCACGGTAGTGGTGGGGGGAGGAAGCATTAAAGAACTGGAGGAAAGTTGTATGTTTCATCGGTGCTGTACTGCACCCTTACTGACTCATCTCTTCCATGTGCCCTTCTGTGAGGGGATGTCCAATTCTGTACAGAAGGGCTTTGGGTCTCCATTCCACCCTCCCCCTCATTCATATCGATACGATTTTTTGTTCTGGGTTTTTGATGCCTGGTACTTGATTCCATCAACACCTCATGATCATACAGACTGGTGGTCTTTGTTGCTTTTCAGCTAGATGACCACTTGTTTATCTTCAAGCCTTTAAGACACCAGAAGCTAAAATTTTGATAACCTGGCATCATCATCTTTCTTGACCACATTTGCTCATGCACCCATTTTGTCTAGCAATCATGTAGGGAAGGTGAGCATCACAGAATGCCGGATTGTTAGAATAAAGTGTTTTTGCATTTAGGTAGTACTTGAGTAGAAGCCCAATGTGTGTCTGCTGCCTTAATACTTAATATATGTATGTAGATCTATGTATGTAAAAATATATGTACGTAGATCTATTTCCCTAGCATTATATAAAAATGTATTTACATATATACATGCCTGTATTTAAAACTCTGTAAATGTCCTTTGCCTCCTAATTCTTTCCTCTATTTCCTTTTACTTTCCTCTTGTCCCACTATCATGTTCGAACTTCATTAGGGTTTCAGTAATTTCTCTAGGCTACATTGCCCTTGATCAAACCCCACCTTATGCCCTCCTCACCATCAATTTTAGATCACTTGTTGTTTGAGAGAGTTTCTATGGGAAATATTTTTTTAATCGTTTTATTAGGGGCTCATACAACTCTTATCACAATCCATACATGCATCAATTGTGTAAAGCACATTTGTACATTCATTGCCCTCATCATTCTCAAAACATTTGCTCTCCACTTAAACCCCTGGCATCAGCT